TTGGAACCAACGGGAAAATTTTAATTGGAGGAATAGTCGGTTGATAGTTAAAGTTAAATTATGGTATTGTTATTTTCTGACCAACGTTGATGATAACAATATTATAATTCTTTGAGTTCTATGTTTAAAGTTTAAATCTCTGATGAATTTTGCATCAAAGTGACAAATTTTCAGAGAATAGATAAAGATCAAGGAATGCTCTTAAACTAGAGAAATGTATTTTCATGTTTTCGCTGCAATGAAGTTGATTGTCTTCTAATTAAATTCGAACCAACGGGAGAATTTAATTTTGAGGAGCAGTTCTATGTTTTCAAGATTATTGAGGTTCTATACGTTAATTCCATCTCTGCCCAATGGTGATGTGGAATTAATGTAGAAGAATGATGTTTATTCTATTTTTTCCCAACGGTGATATAGAATAGAACATAAAGATTTCAAAGTTTAATGAGCATTATTGTTGAATATTTTTTTCAAACAAAGACCTCTATGCTTTCATTCTTGAAGGCAGTAAGAGAAATAAGCTGGGTACTTGTGACTCAGATGATGAAATGCCTAAGGGCAAGTTATGTATGAAAGAATGCCATTGCTTAAGGGACTGTGTTCTCTTTAAAGAATGGCTTAAAAAGAAAAGAATTCTAGGATATTGATCCAAGAAAAGAGATAGATCAATGAGAGTCTTCATTGATAAATGTCTTTTATGTACTCTCTGTGAAGAAGAATTTATTTTCAGTTTCATTTATGAGAGTTGTAAAAGTCATATACATGATTAAACATGTGTGTTAAAAGAATATTCGGATTTATTTCTGAATTTGATGATTGAACATGAGCCAATCCTGGCATTTATGTCTGTTCAAGGGAATTATCTCGTATGGCGGGAAAAGTTTGAGAAAATACCCGCATGGCGGGGTAAAGTTGGCATAGTACTTATGTTAACGAATCCTACATGGTGGGAGAGTTTTGGCATAGTACTTATCCCGCATGGCAGGAGAAGGATGTGATGACTCATGTGCTCTAAGTGTATCCTGCACATGGAGAGAAGTTTGGGATAGCTCTTATGCTATCCTAGTATTGACTGTACACTCTGATTGTGTCATGTTCATTAAGTACTCAATGAGTTTAAGAACAAAAGAAAGTTGCATGTGAACCAAAAGATAAGAATGATATGCAAGTGTGACTTGCAGAAGTATTGATAATAATAGACTATGTTGAGTTTTGAAGTGTAATGAGGAAAATGTACTCCCATACGAATTTTGTTTGCATGATGTAATCATGTGGATGAAGTAAGTAATCAAAGTTTCCTCATTCACAAGAGTTCTGAATGTTTCGAAATTGTGGTAGAAAAGTTCATACCACATTTCGAGGGGGAGAAATGTAAGATTAATTAAGAAAGACAATTAAGAAAGATACTTCCCCATACTTCAGATAATGCAATGCATACTATGCATTGAAGGTAAAAGTGATATATAAAAGATGAATGTGATCGCTGAGGGAGTAAGACGGTCATAATAACGATACCCCTAAAGTAAAGAAATAGCTAAATTCCTGGACCTTTTACAGTTCCAATAGGAAGATAGCATAGTCGGTTAGTATTCATACTGGACGAGTTCAGAGTTATCAAGGCGATACTAAACACGCCATATGAGTTTTTAGCAGATTAAACCCAAAATAAGAAATTTGAAGATACACCATCTTTACAGAAAATAGAGTAATCTAGGGGAGCATGGTATGTAGATACCTAAGGCTTGAATAGAAGTTGGATTACATATCCACTACAGTGTTTTAGAGCAACAAATTGTTTAATACATGTTGATGTTGTATGACATATACAACACCTGATGTTAGCTCTTAAGGAAGATGAAATGAAATCGATAAATACCAATGATGTTTGGGACTTAGAAGAAATTCCCAATGGAGCCAAAACAGTAGGTTGTAATGGGTCTGCAAGACAAATGTGACTCCAAAGGGAATATGGAAAGCTATAAAGCGCCACTTGTGGCGAAATGATTTACACAAAGAGAAGGAATAGATTATAATAAGAATGCAACGATTCTTTTAGAATCATAATGGCGTTGATGGCACACTACGATTTACAGTTGCATCAGAAAGATGTAAAGACACATTCCTCAACGGGGATTTGTATGGAAAAGTTTACATGGCATAACTTAAAAGGTTTTGTCGTGGAAGGAAAAGAACATAAGAGATGTTACCTGAAGAAATCCATTTATGGATTAAAGCAAGCTTCAAGACATTGGTACTTGAAGTTTGACAGTACAATAAGAAAGTTTGGGTTTAAAGAGAATGTAGAGGACAATTGTATTTATGCAAAGTTTAAACATGGGAAATTTATTTTCCTAATCCTGCATGTGGGTAGCACCTTACTCGCTAGTAGTGGTGTTAATCTACTGTTGGAGAAGAAACAGTTCTTGTCCTCAAGTTTCAATGAGAATGATCTTGATAAAGCATCATTCGTTCCAGAAATTGGAACTTACCGAGACAAAAGGAAAATGGGTATTAGAACTATCTCAAGTGTATACTTAGAGAAGATTCTAATGAAATAAAGTATATATATGACTAAACCTGCGTCTGTTCCTATAGTCAAGGGTAATAGTTTTGGGAACTTTCAGTGTTCCAAGAACCAATGTGAGATCGAAAGGACGTCCTATATGCTTCAGCTGTTGGAAGCTTAATGAGTGCTTATAAGTAAGAACTTACCCTGACATAGTTGATGTATCCGGGATGTTTTGGTAGAAGTCCAGTTCAGATATAGATCACTGGAATGGAGTTGAGAATGTTTTGCAATTGTGCAAAGATTTATAGGCCTCATGGTGAGTAAGAAAGAATAAGTACTCTCAAATAGTTGTGGGTACAAATGTTAAATTTTGGCGAGATGTTTAGTGAAACCCACATAGTAGCTAACACTCGCAGTTGGAGTTTTATTGTGGAAAAGCTCCAAAGAAACAGTTGTGGTGTCATCAAAGATGCAAACCCACAGTATAGCTTGTTATGAGTCTTAAGGACAGGCGAAATGGTTAAAAGAACTTACACCTGGAATTGATAATGGTATACAATAGCAATAACCATTTAAGTAGTTCGCTCCTATAACAATGGGTCAAGTGTGGTGCCAAACACATTGACGTTAAAGTTATACGTTGTGAAGGAGAAAGTCCGGAATCATACTAAAAGTATTAAAGTAACAAGCAAGTGCTTGCGGATCCGCGTACAAAAGGCTTACCACCAGTGTGTTTAGAGAACACACAGTCGACATGGGTTTATGGTATAGCCTATGATTTCCGGACAATAAAGGGCCCAAAAGTTAAAGAATCTGTTTCAGAACAGAGATGTGCATTGTAGCTGTTAAGTCTATCGGCGATTGACCGTGACGATGAAGCATGCTCTATGCACTAATCTGTGATGGAACAAATAAAAGTGAAAGGAATTAAAGTCAAAGCTTAAAGTTAAAGTATGAGTTGAGATCAAGGGGGAGAATGTTAGAATTGATCTCATCCGTCTTGACCCAACAGTCGAGACGGACCCCTTGACCGCATCCTGGTCGGGGACGTTCAGCCATCTAGTGGCTGGTGGCCCCCCGTCGCACAGTGCCTATAAAGAGGAGGTGGGGCAAACGGCTCTTGACACGAGGTTCACTGCCGCCGCCACAACCCCACCGTCTAACCCTAGTCCGATCGCGAGGGAGGCATTGCCAGCGGCGGAAAGCACCACTGCCTTTGCCACCACCGCCGGTCTCCACCGCTACACCAACCGTCGCTGCCCGTGCGCAGAGCTACACCGACGAATCAGCGATGGCAGGGAGCTCCTCCAACCCCTCCGACGGTCAGATGCTCCTACATCTCTCTCTCTGTCTCCTTTCCCCGAAGCAAGCTCTAGATCTATTTGATTCAATTAGTAAAGATATCACCCTCTGATCTACACCTAGATGGTCCTAAGATATTAACAGATGATGGCCCATACATCTTCTAGGTGGGCTGCCTGCTGCCATAATTATTTTTTCCATCAACATGTGTGTGTGTGGGGGGGGTGTCGGCGCCCGGTTTCCTGCCACCCGGGTCGGCACCTAGACGCGTCCGAGTAGGGGAGCAGGCCGGTTGCCTATTGGACCAATCCGCATGCAGGCCCAGAAAGACGGCGTCTGGCCGTTTGGACGCCCTAAAGCAAGAATTACCGTTGTTCTTTATATACCAAACTTCAAGTGATACGGTGATACCTATGTGTGCTTTAATAAATATAGAAATATGTTGCATGAATTGTATTATGGAAATGTTTCGCCCACTGGTATTAGTTCACCATAACTAAATTTTATAGAAGAAAGCCACAATTTTATTTCAAGTAGGTAACTCTAGCTTCCCCCGGGTGATCATGTTTAGTGTCAAATCACTTAAAGAATAAATTCAAAACAGCTCTTTGTTTTAATGGTTTTTGTTAATCAAGTTTCAAAAGTTTCACGATAACTCGTCTGAAACAAAAAGTAGCTGTGATCAATAGTAGTACAAGTATTGTGATCAATCAGTTCACCATTCCCTCTGCCAAGTGTCAGCACTGGAAAAGGCCTATTTTGATTAAAATTTTTGCAAACTTAGAAAAATTTGATAGACAACTAGTTAAATTATATGCAAATTTAGTGGACATGAGTTGGATTCTTATTTTAATGCGACTTCTCGAGTTTTACATAGAAACTTCCATTGTCAACCGATGAGAGAGTACTAGAAATAGTTTAATTGTCAGCCGACAGAGTACCACAGTACATTTTGTTTCACATGGTCCCACGACTAATCTGGCTATTACATCCTGGGGAAATGCAGTTTCCCCCTCCTTTTAGTTTTTCATGGTAAAATGGACAGTATCAATGGCAGCGCGCCAGTAGCCATTGTTCATGGTTTTGGTGTGTTGTTCCCCCTCCGGGAACACACACACTCTCCTCCCAGAAATTAGGATCTACTGACAAGCCCAGCTTCAGATGACCTCCCAGTACCTGCCGCGCGATGCTACAAGCTTATCTCCTTTGGTAAGCTGACTTCCAAGAAGTACAAGCTGTCAATTAAAAAAAACATGAATTAGGATTGTAACAGAATAGTATGTACTGCTGTTAAAAGGCGTGCAGAACAATACAAGCTCTTCTACATTGATAGCAAGTTCAGCACCTTCGCAGCCCTATGGGGCCATACTGTAATTGCCCCCATTATATGCACTTTAGAAATGTGAATATTGATGACGGCTGCAGAGATTTCTGCCAGTATGTTTTATCATTTAGATGACAGACCTATGGCATAGGCAGGCTATTCTCTTTGCTTTGCCCTAGCACCTAGCGCTAAAAGCATACAAAACTAGTACCATAGCTCATGCCAGCAAACTTCTGACTTGTGAAAAAAAAAACACTGAGGATTTTGACTAGTTGTTGCAGTGCACAAGTTATAAAAAAACCACATACGAGTCTCTTGCAGAAAGCAAATCCATACTGGTCATTATGACAGCATGTTTACTTAAGGGATCCCTTTACTTAATTTGAAGAATCAACCTACCTTGCAGACATGCAGGCCATGCCCACAAAGACAGCTTTGACAGCTTTCTTCTGGCCACAATAGTCAAATGCAAGAGGTAGCATTTCATGCAAAGTGAGGAAAGCCATGACACCACCAACTGCGCAAAGGAGAGTACTCAGATATGGAAAGAAAACAAGTATTCAATTTACTAACGGACTGACCAGATCCAAGTAGGCCTTCAAGAATGTCAGGATTCAAACTGCTTGGAAACAAGAAAGCTGTAGTAACCAAAATCACATCAGTGCTAAATAAGGTACCATATCATTAGACAGAGAAAATAGATAGATTTGGGTCTAGTTTCTGTCTGAAGGACACAATTACAATAGGAGGGTTCATGAAGTAGCATACCTACAGCAATAACACCTAGTGGCTCGGCCAAACCAGAGCCGGCTGCCACAACAAATGCCTGCTTTTTGCTGTGACATTAAAAAAAACATAGAAATGTCATCTGCATAACCAAAGGCCCAATAAATACAAGAATGGTTAAAATATTTAAAAAACTCGACCTGCGGGGGTTAAGACAGCCCCCAGCATTGTATTAAGAAGATCTTCTCACACAGGTCAAGAAAACCCCCGAACCCCTGCCCCACCCATATACAACGGCACAGTAGCCCATGTGAGAACAACCATGACCGGGGCCAAGCCTTAGACATGTGCTTTGGCATGCAGGCGAGGGGATTGAGCCACCAAAACCAACTCAGCTAGAGGCCCATTCGCAGAATGGTTAAAATATTATGAGCAAACATTACGAACAAAAGAAGGAAATGTTAGTTAGCATCTAGCTTCTTTCTATAAGTAGCTCAAGTTCTCAACTTGTACAACATGCATATCTCACATTCATGGCAGATTTTTTTTTTTTTTTGAAAACACAGGAGAGCTACGTTTCATTGTATTATAGAGATGAAACATTCATGGCAGATTTGAACAGACGATATTTTAGGATTTATTTCGGAGAAACTTTTTGCCCGCAAATTAGATATATTCAACGCTAGATTCATCTCTGAAGGCTGCCGTGAAAAATAAATTTCATTCATCACCAATCTCTGCATGAGATAACAAGTACCTTTTGGTAGCAAAATAGATTGGAAGAGCTACAGCAACCCCCTGAAAAGGTAACAAAGTGGTAAGCCGTCTTTTCTTTATCAAACACACAAGAGACCTGTCTATCATTATATTGAGAAGGAAAAGAAGTCTAGACCAAAGTGTTAAGTACTTAGTATATTGAACTGAGCAAAATGAACCAAACTGGATGAAACTCTAACATATCCAAATAAAAGATACAAATATACAGAAGAAAATAACCTGAATGGCATACATAATATATATGCCAACGTATCCCCACTGCCCAGTTATCATTTTATGCACATAGCATATATTCTCTTCACAAAATGAAATTCTTTAATTCCACAGCTGTATTTTGCACCATTTAAAGTTTAAATTATATTATATTCTGCTAAGTGCTAACACTATGTAGACACATATTCTTTTTAATACTGCTTCAGATGCTACCTGATTCTAACAAATCTCATAAAGTTGAAACTAAAAGAAACAGATAAAAAGGATTATCAGATACCCAGCAAAATTTCAGAGGGTGGTTGAGCCATTTTGCCACGATATACATTAATTTGGCATATAAAGGTAATCACAAGAATTTGGCATTCATATTGACCATAGAATTTCGAAGCTTTAGAACAAAGATAAAATTTGTGCCATTTGAATCTTACTGCATGCACAAAAGCATCCAAGAGCTATCATAGGTGCCAATAATTCAAATTTGAGATAATCTTTCTCATTTAACGACAAAAGCTTAATAATCGATTTTTGTACCTCTGGTATGTTATGTAAAGCAATAGCAACAGCCAAGTTCAGACCCACATGAAGACCCTGCAGTTTTTTATTGTGACAAAAAGCAATCAATGCAAGCACAAAACAATCATAATAAATAAGAACACTTGGAACACAACATGAGGTTTAGGATGGAGCCCTTCAAGAACTAACAAAGCTAGGCACAAGCAGCAACAAGTCCTACAGTTCTCTGTTTAAAGAAAATGCAGGGCACGATGAATCCCACATAGAGTATGTTCCTGGAGTACAGATCAGTAGATCACAAGCTCAGAAGGGATGGTGATTCCTCAGACTTTCCATCCCAAGCCAATGGCTGCCTGTGACTTCTACATACTTGATAGGAGATTTCATTTGTTCATAAATCTACCCATCCTATAAAAAATGCAAGCATAGGGTATTTACAATTTATGTAAGACTAGAAAATTGCAAGATGGAAGCTTATCTTAAATAATCACAACATGTACACATATTAAAATGGATGATTGAGATAAAGGATAGAAGAGAGCTGAATCTCAATAAAAGTAAATAACAGATAGTATCACCTAATTAAACTGTTAAGAACAAATTATTTGGACAACAAACTAAAGGAACAACTGTTGCTTCAGTTATTAATTAATGGTTTAGTCATTTGAGCTATTATACTGACATATATACACAAGCAGAAACATTCTAGAATACATTTCAATCTGCACATTGATGAATAACAGGGAGAGTATCACTAGTTCAACCATTTAAGAACTAATTAAATAGATAAGCGACCAAAGAAAAGAATGTTATTTCAGTAATTCAATGGGTGGTTAGACAGTTAGCGATATATGAGCTATAATGCTGGCATAACTGTACCAAGGCATTACCTTGACAGATCCAAGAAATACAGCCATCCCCTCTGGAATATTATGCAAGACAATTCCTGCAATAAGAGTATTTGGCAATTCAAACGAAGCAAAGGTGCACAAAATATTGCCAGAAGATACAGCAAGAAATGAAACAGTCCAAATAATACCATCCAAATTCCGAAAATAATATCAACCAGGTGCATTTGCTGTTTACTGGTTAAATAAGGGAACTGAAGGATTTCAGAAGGAATCCATGTTTCTTACCAACAGCAGTGATAATACCACTGAATAACACTTGCCGGCGATGTTTTCTCATCATATCTTTACCTGTTCCACCATCATCAGCCTGCTCTCCTCGAGCCAAACAAAGAGAACTAAATTATGTTCAGCTTTCCTATTTTAGTGAGGAAACAGATTGATGTGGTGCTCTAAGAAAATCATTAAGGGCTGTTCATTCCAACCTTTTTCTCATTTGGATCAGCTGGTAGCGAAAAATTTGGCTCTGGAATAAACTTAATAATGAAACCGAAGAAAAGAACTCCTCCAAAAAACTGCAGTTGCTCCTTGTTATGTGGACAGATGAGCACTAGATGAGCATGGATTCAAGAACTATAAGGATGTTATAACTCACCCAGAGGTTCCCCTTCAAGAAGCCAATAGAATTCAGGGCATTGTGTGCCAAGTCTAGAAAGGAGATGCTGAGCATAAGTCCAGCAGCAAAACCCTGTAGCCAGTATGAACAACATATAGAGCTTTAGCAGCTAAACAACTTACTTGGAGAGGATATTTGAAGTTAAATGATAATTTTTCACCTGTAGAAGCCCGAGCACTTTAAGGTTAGGGGCAGGATTCAAAACCACAAACAGCGCACCTGAAACAGAGAATTCAAACCCAGATGAAGTGGGTGAAATTGCTAAAGAAAAACTCAAATGCACACAACTGAGTCAACATTCCAATTTGATCAACAAAAAGTAAGGCTGGGCTTATCCTGAGGTAGTTCATCAAATCACCATGGCAACACATATATCAAAAGTAAGTACAATGAGGACCAGTTTGTAGCTATATGTAAGATTTAACCAAGAAAGAGTAGTCCTAAACTGAAGCAACTGTGGTACTTGGGTTCCCATTCGAAACTTGAAAAGTAACCAATTAATTTTACATGTGAAGGAACAATTTTCCATCACTTGATAGTGAGTGGTTAAAACCATATGGAAGGTGTTCCACAATTTTGTTGCTGATAACAGAGGCAACAGAGCTAACTTGATAGACCCCGGACTGCTAGTTGATCGCCCACCGATCAGTACGAGAAACGCCTAGCCTACGGAACACTCAATCGCATTGAGTACACTGCTCCAGACCGCGCAGGCCAAGCTGGGCGCGAGGAAATTGGACTGCAACCAGCGGCAGCTTGTGGGTTCCCGCTAGTATCCGAACCCTAGGGGAAGAGAACCGCAGAGAACCACAGCACGGCGGCAAGCAAGCAAGCGGAAATTCAGCAACCGCGGAGCCGAGAGAGTCAGGGGGTGCCGTACCGAGGGCGGTGCTGAGGCCGCCGACGAGCGAGAGCCCGAGTGCCCTGTAGAAGACCTGCAGCTCCATTCGCCCGACGCAGCTCCCCGTGCTAGGGTTTGGGCTTTTGGGGATCGAGGAGGATTCGGGGTGGGGGGAGGAGGGAGCGGCAAGCGAGCTTGGCGTGAGCCTCCTCGAGGCGATGGCTGGAGGCTGAGCGAAGGAAGTGATTTTGTATCTAGTATGAAGTCATCGCGATTGCATCAGCCATCGCTTTCGTCAGTTTTCGCTTTTCATCAGTTCAATTGGGCTCGTTTAGCTTATAAGCCGTATTTTTTCGATTAATAAATAGTATTTTTCTCTCACAATAAATTAGCTAACGGTACTTTAACCAAGCAAATATGAGAGATATGTACGGCATGAATCATGATGCATGAATCATGAACTAACCGCTCCAACGATGGTTTTCCACATCGTTGAATTAATTAATTCTGAAACGTCGTAGTACAGCATATCAATTGGAATGGAATAGAAAGGCACCAATTTTTTTTCTCCTTTGATTGAAGCGAAAGGTAATTCAAACAATGCAATGGTCGGAGGAGCATTAACAAAACCACGTCAGCACGTGGCCATCGATAAACAATAGTAGAATCACAAAATCAAATTGGGATCGTAATATATTAGCATCGATCAGGCACGATTACAGAACAAACCCTTGACAATCCACACGATCACGAACAAACGAACAAACAAACAAATTAACACATAATAATTAACCAATCTCGCAAAGCACAAATAAAAACAATATAATTAATTAATCGGATGAACCAAACACGATGTGGATCCCAAGTTTCCCGCCCGTGCGGCGTGCGCGTTCGCGTCGTCGCTCAGTGGAGGTAGTAGGCGAGGAAGGAGGCGACGAGCGCCCCGGCGGCGGGCACGGCGGTGGCGGCGGCGGCGCTGGCAGAAGGGCCAGCGGCACCGCCAGCCGCGCCGGCGGGGGCCTCGGAGGGCGCGGCCGCCTCGGAGGCGACCGAGGCCAGCACGGCGGTGGCCGAGGAGGCGGCGACGAGCGCGGCGACGAGGACCTTCTTCATCTCCATTGCGGCTGGTGGTCGGATCGTCGCTTGCTTCCTGCTGCTGGATTGGTCGAAGGAAACCCGCCTCGCGCTCGAGGAGATGTTATTCTGTTTATTGGGTGGAATTGGGAGACTGCTCGCTCGACGGTCGGCGTGCGTTGAGTGATCTCTCAATTGCTTCTCCTGCCTCAAGACGGGGCGCCGCTTTATAGGACCTCCGCCGCGGCAGCGCGAGCGGCCGCGAGCGAAGCAAGGGCGGCGGTTGGTTCGCTGCCGGGCTGGCCGTGGCTTTGCCGCTTGCCAGAAATAGGGTGATTAGCTTGTTGGTTTGCATTTTTTTGCAGGGTTTGGAGTTGGATTAACGGTGGTTCTTGGAGCGTCACAGGCCGGGCGGATCCTAGGACTTGGTGGATGTTGCGGAATTATAAACACAACTTACCTAGGCATACTATAAATTTATATTTATAGTAAAAGCTATATCTCTCGCAACTAAAAAGACTAAAGAGTGGATACCGTTTTGGTGCGACATTCTCATGTGGGGTCTGTCGTCCTGCCTCCTGCGTTCCTGCAGCCTCGCTCCGACGCCCGTCCCTTGCGAAAACATTCAAAAGGAAAGCGCTCCCGTGATTCAGCCTCGATCCCGCGATTCATCCGCCCGCCTCCGCATCGGAGCGCCCCAATCGTCGCCCTCACCCAACTGGTCGCGCTCGCCCGGAGCTGGCTGCGACGCCGCCCATGCCCGCCCACAGGTGGCCGTGCCGCCGCCGCATGCCCCCACCCTGCGCCCGCGCCCGCCCCCGCCCTCTCCGGTTTGCCTCCGTGACGAGCTCCGCCCCTCCAGGCACCCCGTGCTCCATCCCTCCCTGCGCGGCTGCACCGGCCCGCCACAGGAGGTCGTCCGGTCGTTGTCCGGCTACTCCCTCTCTGCAGCGCGCCCCGCGGCGCGGCTCCTCCCTCCCTGCAGTGGCACAACATCCTTCATCCCCGTGGTGTGCCCCATCCGCTTCCACCCCGTCCACCTCGTCGGAAGCCGGCGACCACGGATCTACGGCGTGAGGTCAAGCTTCTCTCGGATCTGGGTCGCTGGAGCGTCACCACCAGGTACCTGAATCCCCTCACCGCTCTGTCCTCCCTCCTATGTCTCCATCTCCATCTTCCAAGTCCTAGGATCCATTTTGCGACTGAACCTGAGGGTCAACCATAGGAAACCGAGGCTACAGATTTATGATTTCGTCTATATGTACCTCGTAACCAGCTTGTAACGCTCGTGATATGACTAGCAAAGTAGCAGCATACTACTTTGTCAAAGGTGTTGTTTAATGAATGAGAAGCTCATCCAAATACCGCTCCTTAAAAGTGTCAGCATTTCTATCTGAAATGTGGAAATTTTGTATACTGTGCAATTGAAACATCCTATGACTTTTTCAAACATATGACTCGTGCTTGGACTGAATAAAGCGTTTGATGAGGGTAGAAGTTGCTGTTCGTGAAGCTTTGGTCGAGTATTTATGATCTTATCTGTTACAATGGAGTTTGTGATTATTTTTTCTGGCCGCGACGCCCCGCAACTGGCTGCGATGCCGCATCCCATCGAGCGAAACTAGAGGAAGCACATCCTGCTCACGGAAGAGGAAGCAGCAAGAACTAGAGGAAGCAGTCGGAGGAGGCCTCGCACATCCTGCACGCCCTCGCGATCTGCAACTGCTCCGAGGACTCCATCATGGTGGACCCCAGCTTCTTCAACGCCTCCTACACCATCGCTTGCTGCTGCCACCAGGTGTGCCAACCCCTTCCTGCTGCCATTTATTTTGTTACTTGTCTCCTTCAATAACATTGGCATGCCTTATAGTTTTTACACTCTTTACAAGCAAAATTGCCTTACTGATATGAAACATTAGGCATAAGTAATTGACAAATTATACAACTAAAAATATTGTTGTGTCCATCAAGGATGCTTTCACCAAGTACTCCTTGACGTATAAGAAATAGCAGTATAGCACAACCACCATGCAACGAAATTGACATGAAAGACCCTATGCTATCATTTCTTTGCAATAGTCGGCCTCAACAATCACGAAGCACAAGCCTAATGCCAGTGTTTAAATGACAGGAAAGTACATGGATACTAAAAGGAAATACTATTATTCCTTATCCGGTGCCTTTGATAATTTAAAATGTTATTTACAATCAATAAGTTTAGCAATCGGAGCATCATACATACTGCTCTATCAAAAAGGAACAAGAGTATTTCGAGATGAACCTGCTATCCAAAGCAAATCTCAACTAAATGCATAGACACAGTTGCATCCTGAAAAAAGATAAAGAGAATAGGTTATTGAGTTATAGCTATTAGGATGAAGAACCTAGGTGATTATACATGTTTTTTTAGCAGAATCTACTACCAGCTCTCAGATATTTTTATATGAAATAAACTAATCAAGGTGACATAGTTGCAACTTTGCAAGTCTAGACTAAATGCTTAGTCACACAGTTGCATCTTGATAAAAGGCCAAGAGAACTCACCTAAACAAACAATTAGCTCAGTAGTGCAGACAACCTAGGCATCTAGACAAACCCCATGCTACATTCACGAATCACGGATTGGACACAAAGCTCATGACAATGTGTCAATATTACACAGGCTGACATGCACTTTATGCTTTTCACATTTACCATGTGGTAAGGGAAAGTGGATAGAAAAGATGTGTATAAATGAGTTTGTGAAAAGGGACATACTGTATCATGTGTAGGAGAGAGGTCAATAGCCTTAACGGATCTCTCTATGACATGGAAAATAAACGTCTTCATCAGGGTTAGTGTTGTTGTATCCCATAGCTAGGCATGGAAAAGCTGTGATCTCTATTCCAGGCCAACCATAGGCTGACCGAAGCTGTGCAATAGTTATGAGTGGATAAATATCTAAATCTGAACTTTATTTGGTTTCTTGTTTTTTTGCCAACATGAAAACCATCTCAGTAGAGAGATGTACTCTAATGAGCTCAGATACAATTACTTAGAGAAAAAATATCTTACCATCATAGCTCATAATAGGGATTTCGTTTGTACAGATTTGTGCAATTTAATTTAGTTTTGGTTGATGAGCTGTGTTCAGAATTATGCACAGTTAGCAAAAAGGCTTGATATGCTGCAGGGGGTACTCACTGATGGATCGGTTTTTTATTCTAGCTATGACAACGGTGACCCGTATGAATTTGCTCTTGGAAATGGCCAAGAGATAAACGGTTATGCTCCTTTCTTATAATAACAATAATTTTTCTATGTTTATCCGTGGTCCAGTGTCCATACTAAAGGTGGTGTGTGTGTCAAAATTGAAGGTATTAGATGCTAACCTAAGCTTAGGATTATGAAATGTTTAGTCTACTGAGTTATTATTAGTAACCATGTGAAATTTATTAAGGTCTACTCAAGCAAAATATACATATGATTCAAGTTCTGCTAGTCCACTTGTGTGCTAATTTTCTTGATTTCCTTCTTAGCTGGAAGCTATAGATTTTCAACCCCAATCTATGCTGGTTTTGGATAGAAACATATAGGCTTACAGTCAGTTTGTAATATAGCACATGTTGATTTTGTTTCAAAACTGAACACATGTGAAGCAATACAGTATTATCAAGTATGTGGCTTCAATTCAGTTACAATGTTGAGTTAAAAAAATCAGATACAATTATGTGCACAATTGAACATTCTCTGTTTTTCTTATCTGTGTCCATGAAACTTTAGACCATCATTATTTTCTTTAGTGTTATGTTGTTTACTCCTGGTCATCTTGCAGTCTGAATTTTCAAGTTTCAGTTTTAAATCTTTTATCCAGTTTTCAGTTTTAAACAATGTAATATGTGCAATCTGAGTTTTTACAGTGCTCGTACATTCTCTATTCTCTAATATATCCAATTTTCAGTTTTAAACAATATAATATATGCAGTTTGAGCTGGGTATCGCTGCCTGTTATAATTTTATATGTGGAGCATTGATTGCATTTTTGCAAAAATT